GAAACGGTCTGATGGGGCTGCCAGGCTGTGTCGTGATGATTTGTTGTGAGTCCGGTCTGGGTAGGTAGGGTTTCCGAATCTAGGTGCGTTTCATTTCTGTTTGTTGTTGTTGTTGTTGTTGTTGTTGTTGTTGTTGTTGTTGTTGTTGTTGTTGGGGTTTGTGCTGTTCTTCTTCTGTCTGTTTTGTTTTGTTCTGTTTTGTTTTGTTTTGTTTCGTTTTTTGTAGTTGTTTGCTGTTTTTGTTATTGTTTTTGTTGGGGGTCATTTTAATTTTCATTTTTGCTTGTTTAGTCGTCTTTTTAATCTTATTTCATGTGAAACTACCTATTTATTTACTACTTTTTAAAAACTTTTTTAAATTATTTTTTTTTAGAAAGAAGAGAAGAGGGGGTGGGCTTTCGTGGTACATCAAAGTCGGGTTTTAGTTTTAACGGCACTTGCAACATAATAGGTCATGTAAGTGCCAGATATAAAAGCTGTTATTAGAGAGTAAGATACAAAAAAGAGGAGATATACGGTCAATACATTATGTTTAGTAGGAAAGAAGGAGCAAACCACTCCAGAACAGCTCCAACTACCCAGAGAGTCTGGTTTCCTCGACCTCTTCTCAAACAATTTAAACGAATCTGGACGAGCGTCACTTCGACACGGTCTGAAAAGGTTGGACGAGCCCAGCCGGAATGGGACACAGCTTCCCAACAGACAGACGGAGATACTCGGCGATAAAATAGGGGCTTCCTCACTCGGAATTGGCTGTCCTGGATACGCAGTCTTGAACGAAAGCGCGTGGCTTCAGTGCGTCATTTCAAGCCCAGCAGAGTCAACGCGTTTTCCGCTGACGCAGAAGATGGAAATCTTGCTCATAACCCAAAGCAATGGCAGCAAAGGTTTGAAAAGTTTCAAAACCCGTTCGGGGATGGTACGATTTCTTTTTGACCAGAAAGCGGACGAAGTCAGATAGAAGTAACACCGACAGAGAAATACATCCCAAAAATAGCCACATAAGTGCACTCGACAACCGCTTGCAGGTGAGGGTAGTGAACGAAGACTTTTTAAAGGTGGTTTTTTTTTTTGTTTTTTTTTTTG